CGCGCGCGTGTGCCCGTGACACACGCAAGCGGGAGTTGCGTGCGTATACCGGGTGTCTCGGAATCGTTGGCGCTCTTTCCTTTCGAACAATGCTCTCTATCGGGCGCTCGCAGTGTCGTGCGGAGCGCTTCTCTACGGCGAATGCACAAACGCGTTATCATCCACGTTCCCAGGATTGTATCTTTAGTCGAGTCAGGATCACAAGATGCGACCCATCCCCACGGGTATAATTTTCGTTTCGACGTGAGAATTTCAAAGAGTCGGCAGAAGACGATACCTACTCTCGAGGTTCCGAGGAGAAATTCGGACCAAACTAGTCGAAGACTTTCGGAACGAAAGCAGCGGCTTATACAGCCGCTTGTATCACCGCTGCCTTCGGGACACCCTGTACACAAGGTTGCGTACAGACGCTGCGGGTGACGTGCGTAGGTAATAGGCATTGGCCAGGCCGTTAGCGCGAAAATTGTTTATTTAAAGCCCGAGCGGATGCACGCGCGCACGGGGTTGCTCGCGCGTGCGCCGGTGCATGCATCGGAAATTGCGTGCATAAGGACCTGGATGAACAGCGTGTACACGTCTCAGCGCGAGCCGAAGCGGACCGGGTGCAGGTGCAGGCTCGCTCGCTCGTTCGTTCGTTTCATTTCCGAAAATATCGGGGCCGCGGGCTGTCCTCGAGAAAAGCGAGAAAATCCGTCGACGGACGATGTGTCCCGGCGAAATCGAAGGAGAACGCGCGGAAAAGCAGCGGAGGACTTTCGAGAAATTTCTAGTCGCGGTGTAGACGGAGGAAACGGGAAATTGTTTAACGGACGAGTGCTTGTCGATGGCACGGTGTCGCGTTAAATCACCGCGTTCAACGCTACCCGCGCTCGAAAAAATATGTAATATTAAATAACCGCGAAATTAACGAGCGAGGGAGATGCAGAGAGAGAGAGAGAGAGAGAGAAAGAAAGGGGGAGAGAGAGAATGTCTACTCAAAGCACACTTCGGATTCCAGAGATCGTATCGCGCATACAAATGTGATAAACGCAACGCTGCATATCTCCGTTCTCGGACAGCGTCGCCGCGCGAATAAAATAATAACCGTTGCCGTTTGCATTTGCTATTAACGCCGTCGCGTTAACAGTGCGGGCCCGCATTTACTTATGTTCCCCGATATCTTATATTGTCATTACGCCGGCTCGGCCAAATATTTGATCGCGGTACACTTCGACGAAAGCAAACGCCTCCGGGCTATTATGGCAGCGCAATAATCGGGCGCGTAAACCTGCAGGTAGCTGTGCGTTTATATTATATATTACGCTACATTACATTAAGCATGTTGTATGCGTACGGCAACGCGCGTCGCTGATAAGCGCGGACTCGTGCAGGTACACGTAAATCGGCGCCCGGCAGCGATACGCGGTGCATGGGCCCGCATTAATACGCACGTGCTTGCAGTGCGTGCGCTTCGGCAGTTGCATCGAAGATAGGCCGGGGTAATCGTTATTCGCCGCTCGAACGAGCTCACGAATCCAAGAAAAGCAAGCGAGACCGACAGGTCTCGTTGGAGATGCTTTTCGCTGGAGTTCTTCAAGCAAGGAGTTACGACACTGTCCGCTATTAATAAAGGATTCCTCTTTTTTTTTCCCACCAAATCTTAACCGTGCACCTATCTCTTTTTAAGATCTAAATATACATTAGTTCAGGGAAAAAGAGCGTCTGATATGTACATCTCACTCATGCAACGTTCTTTGTTAGTACACACTGAGAAAAGAACTTAAAAATTTATTTCTGAAGTATAAGTTTTATTTTCACAGAAATAAACGTTTAAATATGACGAAATAAAATTTTATTTCGAGTAAATAAACCAGTTGATGAGAAAATTTAGGTGTATTTCACAAAAACATATATTCTCGTCATAGTCAAGTTTTTTCTGACCAATAAATATCGAAGGAAATGTCACAAGAACCATTTACTTCGCAAAATCTAAATTTCTTTTTCTCCGTGTATCTTCTCTCTCTCTCTCTCTCTCTCTCTCTCATTCATTCTCACTTCTCCTCGCTTCTTCCCTATTAATGCCGGACGAGTGTTTCACCAATCTGGAATTATCATGCGGTGTACTAACTCTAACTTGAGGAACTTTAGTTTCCGCGCGTCATGTCGCGCGTATCTCCGAGAGATCTCGACGAAGATAATTAAGGCAAAAGTATCCGGACGTGTACATAGGAAAAAACAAATTTTTCTGGCACAGCAAGTTGTTAGTTATTACAGGACAACGAAAGGATTTGTTACAGAAAAAATAATTTTCCTGTTGAAAGGATTTGTTACGGAAAAAATAATTTTCCTGTTGTAGCAAAACCGTTGTTGTGACAATGATAAAATTTATTTGGCATAATCAAATTATTTTGCTATCTATCTAGCAACTATTAACAAATCTTTTTTGCTGTCCAAGCAAATTTATTTGCTGTCCCTATAGTAACTAACAATTTGCTGTGCCAGTAAAATACTTTTCTCCGTGTATCTAAACTTCTTGTACATTCTTATCGTTTTGAATACTTTAAATACGAATGTTTAAACATTTAACGTAGAATACATATATACTGCATATATACATATTCTATGCACGTATTTTATGCTGAAAGTTTAGATATTTGTATTTAAAGACCAAAACAATAAGAATATTCAAATTTATATACGTATCGTTATGTACATTGGTATTTTTACCTTATTCACGGCTATTTGTCACTCCCGTGTAGGCACATAGCCGAAACGTGTTTAAATGATGCGAAGCGCACGTTTAAATGATGGGCTTCGCGTTACAATTTGTATCCCTATGTTCGTTACTTATTATTTGCACATCGTGTGTATGTATTTTTTTCCTTTACACCGAGATTAACGTCTGTGTGCTCTTCTACTTTTAATAGAAATATTATCGAACCATGTGCGCGCGCGCGAAAGACCCAATTATTTCGGTGCGCATCTCCCGGGGTTGCGAGGCTCCGCGTGAAATTGATGAAGATTTTTACGATGTAGATAGGTACATCGCGCTGCATATAAATCGTATTAAAATGTATTAATCGACGTTACGAGCGTAGCCAGGGAAAAATAAATACGCGGTGTACACGCATATGTGTGTGTGCGTGTGTGTTTCGTGTGGTGGTTGCCGCATTATAACCGTATAATGCCGTAGGTTTTACGCTCACACCGAGCGAGCGAGCGCGCGGGTGATTTATGCGCGTTGCGGCGATTCGCGCGCGCGCTTCACCCATCGATAGCCAGGCATCGGCGCGATTTCAGATCCCGGGCTTTCCGGTGGGGGGAGGAGGCGCGAAAAAAAATGAGAGAGAGAGAGAGAGAGAGAAGCGCGCGCGAAATGAGGGCTCGGATGGCGGGGGCGGCTCATGGGGGTCGGCGGAAAAACTCTCGACGAGTTTATCCTGGATTTTTCTGGTATGCGGAGAATTTCACTCTGCTCGCAACGACACNGGGGGGGGTCTCGGCGGCCTATTTACGATTGGCAACGCGCGACTCGCATCTTTCGTTCGCGTTTTTTCCACGTGAAGACTCCCGAGCGCGACTCCAGAGCGCGGAGGCGTCTTCGTGAACGCAAAATCTCGGCCGATCAAACGACGTGTCCGGTTAACCGGTTAACCGCGTTCGGCATTCCTGTTTCGCGCGCGCGATCCGATCGTTCTCGCTTGCTCTGCCCTGTTATAAAACGAATAATCGATTTTTTTTCTCGCCCCTCCAAGTTCAAACCCTCGTAAGTGTAGAGCTCTAAACGATAATCGCCTCCGGGGGAGGAAGACGGGGGGAGGAGGAGGAGCCGACCGTTCCTCCCGTCCCTCCCTCTTTTTTCTTCGTCGACTCTGATTTTCCCGTTGACTTGATAATTACTCTCCTCCGAGCGCGCTCGCGCGCGTACCTAAGACGAGGCCGCGCAAAGCGCGCTCGATTTTCCTGGGGCGAGTATAACGTTATGCAATTTTATGCGGAAACTTCGAGACGCAAAGGCGAGGCTCGCTTGCAAGACTATGGTAATGGTGTGGGTTCGTTAGCGTCGCGATTGTCAGACACATCGGCGCTCGTTTATTCGGATGTTCGGAATTCGAATTACGAATTCATGCCCGAGTAGTACTGTCAGTGGCTACGAGAGCAGTGGCTACGAGAGATTCGGCTTTCCTCTCTCTCTCTCTCTCTCTTCTCACTCGCTTCCCACTCGCTTCCCACTCGCTTCCTACTTATTATTACGACTTCGTGGCTTATCTCTCTCTTTCTCTCTCTCTCTCTCTCTCTCTCTCTCACAAAACATTGTTATCGCTATTCCACTCCCTATCGGATATTTATTATTACGATTTTCTTTATCTTTTTTGCCAGCTCAAAACGCATAACTTGTCCTCCATAGCAATATATATTGAACTTCAGTGTGATTATTAACCCTCTAACAGTACAGAGAGAACATACTGTCGTAAAAATTACCACAAAATGTTGTAATGCTGTTGTAATACCGAAACTATGATTGATGTTATTAAGTTTGAAATTATTATGTTGTGATCTTTAGTGATGTGTAAAAGTGAAATATATCGCTAAAGATTACAACACATATCATAATTTCAGATATAATTCCGGTTCATGGTTCAGAGCGTTACAAAAATTTGTTTTGTAATTTTTATTGCAATATTCCCTCCGTAAAGTGGGGTCATATTAACGGTCATATTAAAATTCATTGTACTTTGTACACACGTTTTTTCTTTTATTAAGAAATGTTTCATGTTATTATTTACTTCTTTTATCCACTTTGAACATTGATTACATGAAAAATGAATAAAATAGAACATGGGATCGGATCCAACGCCAATTTCCTGAATACGTTGAAAGTCCATCTTATCATTAAAGAATTAAACTTTCTCATTTCGAAACTCCGTTCGCGATTTTTAACGAGAAATAAAAAGAAACACAATTTTCGAACGCGAAAACATGCGTAGCAGACATGAGCGAGGCAGAAAAGTGTGACTTACAGAAGTGGTTACCAGGTCCGGCGTAGTGGTGTCCTTTGTAAGCCGCGAACAGTCCGGGATTGATGCCGATCTGCAAGCAAGTCAAACGTACAAAGTTCGTTAGAATCCGAAGGACGAATTCGCCGCGGATGCGGCGTCGATGACGCGCCTCGCAACCTCGCCTGACGTTGTTGACGTCGAACGAATGCGCGTTAGCTGCGAACACGATTAATCCGGCGTTACATCAATTAGCCGGCACGACGACGCGAAAACGCACGGTCACCGAGTCGCTTTCGAGTCGGCGTCACCCACAGCGTTGTTCCTCTTTGAGCCGCGCCCAGGCGCCGCGCGTCAATCTCCTTGAAATTATTACTCAGGCTTATTTCCAAGTCGTTTCCGCGGCCCGACACGGCGAAACTATTGTCCGCAGCTCGGTCTCCTTCTTCGCCGGTCTCTTGCCCGTTTCCGAGTTTTTCCGAGACCGGGCAAAAACGACCAGGGCAGATGAGTCGCGTTCGCGCGTTCTCGTCGACGACGTAATTAATTTCGCTTTCTACCGGTTGTCAAAGCTAAATCGAGACTTTGGGGAAGAACAGGAGGGAGCAAGAGGAGGCAGAACGTTCACGAGTGCAAGACGTTTCTTTTCTCTCCGGCGCGCGCGCGCACAAAATGGCACGCGGCGTAAGCGGTGACGCGGAATCGATTGCAAACCGGTACGTTTGTTAATTAAGGTAGAGACCGTGGCACGTTCGGTTGTACACGTGGACGTGTACAACACGACGGGGAGAACTCGTGGCGAATTATGTTGATGACTCGAATTTGACGAGGGAATTTTGATGAGTAAAAGTTCCGCGGGAGTTCGCGGCCGAGGTAATACGTTGAACTTTGCGACATTCGCGCTCTCGATCGCGACCGTATAAATGCGAGAAAAAGGAAAAGGGTGCGCGGAAGGGGGGGGGGTGAAAAGAGGGAGAAAAAAGCGGCAAGGAGGAGAGCGTGTTCATTTCGCGTGTAGCGAAATGAAGCATATATTATGGAAATACAGCTCGCGAACGCGCGTGTGTCCGCTATATGCATAATGTTTAATTTAACTCCGAAAACCGCCTAAAAAGGCACGCTCGACGAGAAACGACGCGAGGCGTATGTATTCATATTATATGCGACGAAATTAATTCCGCCATTATGAGAGCAATACGTACGTCAATGGGGGCCGTTTTTAATCTGCAAAATGCACAACTCCGAACTACTCCCGGCACGCGGCAACTCTGTCGGAGCTATTATCTAATGCTTTGACGGGCTTCCCCTTCCACTTGAATTGTGCGCGTCGCGCGTAAAAATGTTTATTAAACGCTTCACATCGAATCAATATCCCTCTCTGTGCGTTACACGCGCGTTCGGTGACTTACAGCGCGGCGAGGCCTCGGGTAAACGTTTATTCTGTAGTGAAAGAGAAGGGAGGGAGAGAAAGAGAGAGAGAGCTCTCGTGTCTGCGTCTGACTCTACTTTCAATATTCTTTCCAATTTTCCTCGATTTCCCGCGCGCGCGCAATGCGAATGCCGCGTCAGCGGAGCGCGCCGGAACAATGAATTCTCCTTCCGAAAGCAAATGCGGCACGATCGAAACGCTTACTTGGGACAACGGGCACGATGATGATTTCTCCTCTCGTTAGACTCGGAATTAGTTCGCGGGGATACTCGCGGGGTTTTCCGCGAGGATGAGTCGCGCTAATTCGAGCCCAGAGTTCCTCGAGCGAGAGCTGGGCCTGTGATAATTTTTGATAGGTGAAACACCCGTCCATCATTAATAAGGAAGAAGCGAGTGGGAGTGAGAGAGAAGATGTACCACACAGAAAAAATTAGTTTTAAATTAAGAATAGATAGTCTCATATATAAGCGAGAATATTATAATTCTCTTGGAAGATTTTTAGCCTCGATTTAATTGAATTTAGATTACAAGTATTAAATTCAATTCAAGACTAAAAGTCTTCTAAAAATATTGTAATTTCTTGCTTTTATGTGAGAATATCTATCTTGATTTTTAAAACGAATTTTTTTCCATGTAACAAAGGACGCTACATAAGCGATTTATATATTAGGCGTTCTTTCTCGTTAAAACAATGTATGGTCAGCGACAAGAAGGTTGCAACAATTTTTTTATAAATTCTGGAACGCACCTGTATCCAATAGAAAAATTTGTTTCTCAGTAATTCACAAGAGATGCATTTTCCTATTGGATACGAGATGCGTTGCGAAAATCATCGGAGGAAAATCATCGAAGGAAATGTCGCGATCTTTTTGTCGCTGACCATACACTTATAGAACTTAGAAAGAGACAAATATACAGTTAATGGAAGAAAGAAGAGAAATGAACGAGTACGAGATAGTTCCTTATTAACGGCGGACGATGTGTCCTAACTCTTACTTGAGGAATTCTATTCGAGCCGAGTCTCACGTACAATGTTGCCGTTGCGCTTCCGTCGTATCGCGCTTTGCATCGCGAAGGATGAAGACGGAGAGAAAAAGAGCGAGATAAAGGCAGAGAGAGAGAGAATCGATTTCTTTCCCGGTATCGCGACTTCACGTGCGCGCTTCTTACTCGCGATTATGCAACGGCGGCGAGGAGGCGGAGGAGGCGCAGGTGCGCGGCGTTGGTACCTGTTGCACAACCGCATTATCTTCGCTCCTCGCTCCGCCGGTTAGGTAATTAATAACGACAAAGTCCAAGGATACGTGATGCGCGCGCGGAGCCATTAGGCGCGCATCTCGCGCGCTATTAAAGTCCCTCCTTCCTCCTCCTCCTCCAGCTCATCCTCGCGCTGATGTACTCCCGCGCTCTCTCGACTCGCAACTGACCTTTTCGCAAGTGCAAGGTGCGCGCCGAGAGAGGAGGATGCATTGCCGCCGGGGAGGATATCTCTCTCTCTCTCGAGCGACGCGACGCGACGCGCGGTGTGTCGTAACTTATCGACGTTTATCTCGCGCCTAGCCCCAGCGACGTGTCCGCTCCTCCGTCGTCGGTAAATAGAGATTAACATTCACCGCGCAACGGAACGGCCGTATACTCCTCGGGATAATTGCATGACAAAGTGCACGTCCGTAGGACGACGTCGCGCGCGACGTGTATGCACGTACATACGTAGTTACGTACGAACATACGTACCTGCGGATGGTCGACGTGCCGCGTGTACGTATACGCGCGCGTTCCATTAAGAAGCGCGGCGCGTCCGCCGGCAAGGAACGAGAAAGGTCCGGCTGATTAATTTGGATGCTGGGCCGTCCAGCTATTCTCGCGCCTCCGTTTAGCGATGCGTTTAAGTGCCGCCGGCGCGTTATTATGTGCCGAACGCGCGCCTCGTCGAGACAACGCGCTCGTTACAGTCGGTCGAATGGCTATCGGGGCCGAGCATGACGGCCAGCACCGCGAGCACTCTCCGAATTCGCGAAGCGTGCGCCGTTCTCGGCGCCGTCGGCGGTGCGGATTCTCGTTCTTCCTCCTGCGCGTCAGCCGACCCCGTCCCCGGAAGTGCGCGGGGGGAATAATTAAAAGAATAATTCGCGACGTTAAGGAGGTTCACTCTCGACTGCCGTATTTCCAACGTCCCATCGTAAATTGATTATTTGTCAGGCAAAATTTCGCTTCTATACATTCATTTCACTAATCGAATAAATAATAAATGAATAAATAATAAATATATCAATTTCGGACGAAGCTGAGGTAGACATATGTAACACACAATATTACAAGTACGAAAATAGTATTATTTTTTATTTTTCTTATTAATGCTATATTTATGCATTAGTTGATCTAATAAAGATGCACGGATGATAGAAAAAGATATATAAATATTTAAGTATGTGCTTACACATATGTGTATCTTGAATATTACTATGAATTGTGTTTAAACTTCCCACATGCTGTATTTTCAAAACGACACGGTCAATAATTCTGAAATTTGTCTGTATTTATATAATAGTTTTCGATATTAGAATAATTTTTTAAATTTCTCCATATATCTTATATTATTATAATTATGTCAAATTTTGGATGAAATTTATCGTATTATGAAGTTTCTATGCTTGTAAACATACAAGTGTATAATGAAATATGTCAGAGAAACGACACGGTAAAGATATTATCATTGAAATTTCTGTTATACACGTTGTTAGTTCGGTTAACTTTTGCATCATATATATAATACAGGTTTATCTTATATCGGTCAAACGCTCGAACTTCCTTAACGAACTTCCTCGTTTCGCGGCATTGCGGCGGCAAGGACTGACCAAGGACTGAAAGGAAGAGGACGGCCGATCCGCGCGAGTTTGTGATCTTTCCTTCGTAATTCCGCGCGAGGGTGAATAATCTCGCAGCTTATCGTCGCGTCTTTTCACGTTAGACCTAGGTGGTGGGGGAAAGGGGGTTTCTTGATACGTTTCTCGATGGCATCTTTGATTCCGATAAGGGATGATAGGTAGGTAGGCAGGTAGATAGGGGTAGGTCAGGTAGCGAAGACGGAGGAGAAAGAGGAGCAACGACAGACGACGACGGCGTGTATCGCGCCGTCAAAATCGTGTTATATTGTTAGTCGCGTACGAGCGAATCCTCCACCTCCATCTCCTCCTGCTGCCGCACACACACACACGTGTATACCCACACAGCACCCCGCATGTCCCCATCCCCCGCGCCGCCGTCGACATAAAGTACGTATCGCATTAGCGCGTTAACGCCAATGCGTTAGCCGCTCGGCCGGCGCCGAATGGCGGCCGGGATAAACGAGGATAAAATGACGGGCGGGGGTGGCCACGAGGCGGTTGGACGTGAGGAAGGGTGTGGAATTGTCACCGATTGAAAACAACGCGCGTCGCTCACGTAGGAACGGAGAGGGTGGCGAGGGGGACAGAGGGGGATCCGACGAGCTAGCGCGGGCGGTCGGGGGACGCGCGGGACGTGGGGAGAGACCGCGGGATAGGGGGGTGGTCGCGCGCTGGGGGTGCATTCTATGGGGAAGCACCGAACAGTGTCCCGCTGCGTTCGATTACAACGTCGGGCGTAATAACCGAATTGCCCACGGCCCGTTAAAGCGTTTACACCGCTTGACGGATGATCGACCACGGTGACAACTCGTTTCGGGTAATATATGAATATGGACCGTGCGTTAACAGACTCCCCCGGTCGCGGTGGAAATGGCCGACGGCGGTCGTGCCTTATTTCGGGATAAATAACGCGGCCGTGAGAGAGTCTCCCCCTCTCTCTCTCTCCCTTTCTCTTCTCCTCCTCTTCTCTTTCTTGTCTCCGTTTCTCGCGACGGTGGAAAAGTGGAAGTGAGTTTTGTGCGCCGATTTTCTTACGCTCGTTGCTGATGTCCGGGACCGTCGAGGCGTTAAGAAACGCGACGCGAACCTGAATCGAATTTAATGACGATACACCGATGAATCGGCTCGACGAGCTCTCTCAATGGCGGGTTCAACGAGCCTCGAAATTCGTCCGAATTTTCGGTGGGGTTATCGTGCGCGAAAAATACACACGAGGGGAGTGATGATACGTTCCTTCGTTGCAACGAAAATTAAGTTAGCATTTTGTCTCCTTCGGTATCATTCGCCCTAAGAATAACACTTTTCGCTCTCTCGTCGATACGGTTAATCACATTTTTCTCGAAACCGTAACGACCTTTACGTTTATAGAGAATAGCACGAGCGAAAGTACACTGCGAGGAAAGAAAGCGTCCCGTAAATATTAACGAAACGTTACATCGAGACGTCGAAGTGTCACATTCAAAATATAATTATGCGCGCGAAATTGAGCGATAAGTTAAACAACGTGCCTTTACTCGATGAAGAATCGACGTAAATACGCTACTAAAAATAAGATAATCTCGTTATCTCGGGGAGAACCGAGAGGTGGAATTAAATCAAACCTCATCGCTGTCTTGTTTCCACGTGATTAAAATATCCAAATCGTCGTGAGTGCCCTCTCCCTCTCTCTCTCTTTCGGCTCCGTCATTTAAGTCACCCCAATTTTGATAACGACGGCCGCATATCGGATTATAACAATCACTCGTAATGACCGTGATGCTCACCCGTTAAACTGTTTATACCCGTTTACACCGGTATCGGGTGATCGATCAACGCGGCGGGTCGTCGCGTTTGTAACGAGAACGTAATTCCCATTCTCTCGCTTGCATTCAATAAAGATCATGCTAACGCGCAGTGACGAAAATGACACGTACGGGCGATGCAGAAATCGTCCGTCCGCCCGCCCGCCCGCCAAATTGTTTTCGGATTCCCCGGTCTCGATTTCGCCCGGTCGGGTTTTACCCGTGCCAATGGCTCTGGCCGTTTGAATAATTCGACTTATCATTAATCCCGGATGGCGCCTTCGGACGATTCCCCCTCGCCCCCTCTCTTTCTCTCCCTCCCTCTCTCTCGTCGCGGCTGGGTGAACGACTCCCGACGGTTTTATTCTCGGACAGCGAGCCCCGAGATTATATCGTTGCACCGTCCGCCAACAACTATGGTAGTCGCTTTCCGCCAACGTCTCGCGCTTAACTATAACTCCTAATTAGTCGCGTGGGGTCGTAGTGACCCACTCTAAATATAGCGTGCGTGAAGAAAACGCCGAGTTAAAATTAAACCAAGCGCCAAGGGAGAGAAAGAGAAAGAAAGAAAGAGAGAGAGAGAGCTCGCGCTGTGTGTGAGAGATTAATTAGTCTCCGGTAACTCGGCGCGCGAAGTGAAGCAAAGAACGCGTATAACGGAATCATAATAGCACCACGCGTTGCGTTATTAATTGCGCGCTATGCCAGTCAAACGCCAGGCCGCGGGTCGACCGTGATTTAATAACCGATTTCAATCGACTCGTCCTCGCCCCTCCGTCGGTCCCGGCTTTCTTACCACCCGGTCCTGCGACGAGGAACTAATTGAGGTTCGAGTTAAAACCGACGTCGGTGAAACTGGTCCACGCGGTCGACCAGCTTCCAACCCCCCCTCCCCTCCCGCTCAGTCTGTCTACTTACGGAACGCAGCGCGGGCGAACGATCGGCGTCCCGCGTGATAACCGAATCGCGCACGGATCATTAAAGCGATTAAGCAGGCGGCAGTTGCCATTTGTCGTCACCGCGAGTCAAACGGGAGAGTCGCCCTCGCGTTTTCGCACGGGAGTCGCTTGCAAGATGAATCTTCGCGAAGGCTAAATGCGCGTGTACAACGAACGAACAGCGGACGTGTGATTATTCACGTCTAAACGCGCACTTTCTCTGTAACCGTACGGCGAGCCATCTTGTGAGGAAATCGGCCTGAAACGTCCTGTTCGGATTTGTCACGACATGCCTGCAGACAGTTTGCACTATTTCAGAGATTCCGCCGACCATTCTCACTCCATTCGTTTCGTCGCATCTAGGTTCCCCTCGGAAGCGTAAGACTCTCGATTTCAGAGATGGTACTTGGTCGATATTAACTAGAAATCGTGATGGAGATTTGACGAGTGTTGCTCGCCGCTCGTTGTTCACTGTTCAGAATGTTATTTAACTTTGTAATATATTGATAATAATAACAATAATAATGATTACACGGGGCATGTGTACATTTAACACCGTTCTAAAATGACAAACGGCAATGTTGCGTAGAAAATCTGGTATTATCGCAAAAACACTGGCAGTCGGCGGAATCTCTGAAATAGCGTTGTCCACATGCGTTACGTATTTTCCAAAAAGTAACGACGAAAGTTTCCGCTGCCTCGTTCGCTAAATGTACACGCGCCTTAAGAGACGCGAACCGAGGCCCCAAAGTCCTCTCACGGCGCGATGCGCGGCTCCGCTCCGCGCGCGCGCGTGTGCCCGCCCGATTAATTGCCGTCATTCGATCAAGAACGACATCGCGGCGCATTGGTAATGCGGCATTACAAATGACACGCACGGCGGCCGCGATATAACCGGGCTATAAATTACGCGCGCGTCGAGCCCGCGTACGTACACGACGACGCGGCGCGTCGAGCGCGCGCGGTGCCGCACGGCGGAGATGTGTGCCGCGGCGAAATTGATGTTTTTATTGTTAGTGTTATACGGCGCGATTAATGAATTATCGGGCCGACGTGTGTATGTGCGCGTTCGCGGAGAGTCGGCCGGCCTATCCGCGCCGCAATTGAAATGTCGCCTACGTGAGTCGATCGAGCGAGTAAATCTCGTTTATTTATGGCGCGGCGCGCCGCGCGTCCCGTAACGACTTGGGATGATTTAATTTATCGATATTAGGTGAGCTGGTCGCTTCAAGCTCCCTATCTATCTATCTTTATCTAGCTATCGATATATCTGTCCATCTGCTTCGCGATTGCTGCGCGCGACGCGTCCTCGGGGAGCAGCCAGTGCTACTATCCAGTCACTCAAGTCTTTCTTTGCCACTTTCTTGACGAGTCATTAAAAAAATTTAGTATTGTCCAAAATGGGTCTGTAAGGTGGACAAGCATTAAAGATGTCAGACCGCAGCAACGAGTACGACATGGTTTGTTTAATTTGGTGGCCGTGTACAGGCACATATCGCGTAGCAAGATCTTTGTAAGATCTCTTCCCCGAATCTCGAAGAAGCTTGTTCTCCGTGAATTAGCTATTTATTCTATTTTCGGACCCGGACTCCCGACCATGACCTAATTTCTCATTCGCTCGTACCGATCGTCGATCACTCTACTGATCGATGGGGCGCGATATTTCGCGGAAGCGCACGCCGAAACTCGCGCACACATGTGGTCAGCGACGACAAGGTTGCACTTTTTTTTTTTTCGACGAGTTTCGCAACGCATCTCGTATCCAATAGGAAAATGCATCTCCTGAGAATGGCTAAGAAACAAATTTTCCTATTGGACACGGAATGCGTTCCAAAACTTATAAAAAAAATATTGCCTTTTTTAGTCGCTGACTATATGCTACCGTTCTTCTCGACAAAGTCCGCATTACCTGGAACAAGTCGCGCTCACTCGCGACTCATTCTTCGTCTGCTTGTTTTTTTTCTCAGACTATAAGTCTGTTCTTTTTCGCTGAACTGACTGCACTAGCTTGCGCTAGTTCTCTTCTCCTCTGTCTTCCACCAGGTTTTTACTGTATATCTTATTACTTTTTTTTTAAGTTCGTATAAGCGTACACTTCGATGAAAAAGAACAGATACTTATAGTCACTAATAGTTACTTTTTTCTTAAGCTGTCATTTGTAAAATATAAACGTTCTACATATATTTCTTTTGCCGTCTGGTCTGCTGCCAATTGTCGCTTGCTCACTAGTTACCGATCTATTGTGCCCTCGTTATGAATATTCAAGCCGTACACAGAGAAAAATAATTAGTCTTAAATCGAGAATAGATATTCTCATATATAAGCAAGAATATTATAATAATCTTAGAAGATTCTTTATCTTATTTGATTGAATCTGTATTAAATATGTATTATTTGAACTTAATTTAAGATTAAAAAATCTTCTGAGAAGATCATCTTCTTGCTTATATAAATGAGAATATCTATTCTTGATTTAAAATGATTTTTCCTGTGTACATGAAAAGACTCGAATAAAAAAATCTCGCTATATGTTACGTGTAAAAGTAAGCCTAAGAAGATAAGAGTATCCCTTTTTTTGTTTAAATGGCCTTGGTTACTTTCAGCATATGACAAAAAATGTTACTTTTGGTCACCTTTCCTGCCAAGAAGCAGTCACTGTTTCACTTGATTTGTTCCGGTGACTGAATAGCAGCGCTGAAGTAGAAAACGCAAAGTACAGAGACGAGAGAGGATCGGCTCTCTCGTATCGGTCGCGCAGAGCACAGAATAATTATACAAACTTACTATAATAATGTCAAGGTTGTTGGTGAGATGATCCGGCAGGACGCGCTTGCTCACTTCCTCTTCCGGCATGCCGTCGAACCTGTCGTGCTTCTTCCTCTCTTTGTACGTCTTAGCGCGCTTCTTGGCCTCCGCGAGCTCCGCTCTGGAAAAAAGGGGCACAGAGACGGCCGTGATAATACGACGTTGGATTCCGCGTCTTTATACCGCGTCATTCGATTCAGCGGAACGCGCGACTGTAGCGTAGTAAAACGCAACTATTTCTCTCTTTCTCTCTCTCTCTCTCTCTCTCTCTTTCCCGATCGGCAGGGGGGACGGACACGGCGCAACTTTCCGTGTTCACTTTTTACCGAGAGGCACGGCGAGCTCTTTCGGACATGTTCGCGTCCCCGACACTCGTGACACAATGTTGCACATTTTGTATCGGGCAGGAAGTCGCGAGTCGTCGACGAAGACGAATAATGCCGCGAATAAATAAGCTCGAATCACGAGATGAAACGGCGGCTGTAAGCACGATTTCCGATTTCTGCCGTCGTGAAAGAAGAGAAAAAGGTTGGAGTGATGAGACGACGCGCAGATAATAGATCGAGCGCTCTCTCAAGCGACGCGCAGAAATTCTCACGCGAATTGTTTAATCGCGGATCACGCGAGAAAGCGCGAATTAACACGTTGAGTGCCGCACTGATTTCCACTGATCGTATAAACGTCTAACCGATGATTAAATCATTGCAGCTGCAGTAAATAAATGTAATCCAGGATATTGTATTCAGAGTGACGTATTCAGAGTATACGTGCCCCGGTAGAAATTTCATGCACTTTTTGAGCAGTCGCTGGACAGTTATTGTTAACTTCTGTCTAGTAATTACACAGAAAAAAAGAATCTTAAATCAATGATAGATATTCTCATATACAAAAAAAATGTTATAATATTCTTAGAAAATGTTTAGTCTTGAATTGAGTGCAAATAATGCATCAATACAGATCCGATCGAATCGAATCAAGATTAAAAATCTTTCAAAAATGTTTACCAGAAGAATTGTTTCATTCACTGAATAAAACTCTATCAAGTCCTTGTCCATTTCCCGCGTAGTATTGGCACAACTGATGAGAATATATTAATACTAGACCGTAATTGAACGGATGTCCCAGAAAACTGCATACGTTTCTACCAGGGTATCTCTAATTTTGTTTCATTGGCTCTTTATTAGCCGTACGAGTCCATTTCATAGATGCAATTAATTATATTTTAAAACGCTGTAATGTCACAGAGCCGGTTTCCGGTGACACCTCCACCGCATTCAAACGTGTTAACGTCCTCGGTTTCCTGCATTCGGTAACGCGAATCGTCTCGCGTGCTATCATCGGTGTAACGGTAAACGTATCCGCGCAACAGCAGCGGCGTCGGCCCGATCGTGTTACGTTCCTAATATGCGGAACTATTTTTAAGTTTTCGGCCGGCTACACAAAAATAAGCGTAACTGAAGATCCCATCGGATCAACAACATGGTGCCCGGTCAGACGGACATTGTTAGCAGCGGATATTTTTAACCATAGCTGCATGCAAATATATAACTAACTCCGGTTATATCGAGTCGCGGGCTCCGTGGCCGGCCTATGATCTTTTTCAGCTTCGTTTCTCCCCGGGGGTATCATTTAACGTGTTTTTAATAATAACGCTCCGCCGGAAGATGCGCTTTAAACCGTGAAGCCTTTCTCTCCTCTTCTTTCTCGCCAGGAGACGCTTCACGTGAATCGTTTCGAGTCGAAACTGGTTCCTCACGGGTGAATTTCGACGCAACGGTGGATCGATCTTTCGCACGTGTGTATGGTCAGTCACGAAAAGATTGCAACATCTTTTTCTTTGGTAAGTTTTGAAACGTGTCCCGTGTCCAGTAGGAGATTTTTTTTTTAGTAATCCTCAGGAGATACATTTTCCTATTGGATACGAGATGAGTTGCGAAATTCATCGAAAAAGCGATGTCGCACTCTCCCTGTGATTGACCATACGCCGAACAAGGTGAAAATGTCAATGCCTGGACACGTAATTTTAGGCACTCTTATTGTTTTAGTCCTTAAATACGAATATTTAAGCTTTCAATATAAAATATATATAGGATTTTTCGCGAATAAACCGGCAAACTTCGCCAGCATATTTGAGAGGTCACTCAGAACAAAAAATGTTATATAAACAATGGGTCAATTCAGCTCAGTTATCGAGATATGGAAGGTGTATTGATATAAACCACAAATAATTCCCTTTAGATATTTTTATAAGGTTGTGTAAAATCGGGAGTGTATTTAAATGGAAAGTTTGATATACGTGAGCAGTTGATAATAAACGTCAACAAGCTGTTATCAGTATTAGTAATGATCTTGCCGATCTTGCGGGGATGCGGTTGATGCAAGCACATCTACTTGCGTTCCTAAAGGCACGAGGTGCTCATTTTGAGCAATGCGTGTAAATATTAGTACAATATATCAGTGTTAAATGTAATTTCACACCATTTCGAGTAAATAATAAGCAAAAATTGAGTAGCTTGAACGCCTCCGATTAGTTGTGATTTATATATACCTTCCATCTCTGTTATCTCGATAACAGAGCTGAATTTACTTATTGTTTATATAACCTTTTCTTTTTTGTTTAGAATGACCACCTGGCAAAGTTTGTTGATATTCGTGGAATACCCCGTATATATATGTTGAATATATGCAAACATTTTATATTTAAAGACCAAAACAACAAGAATGCTCACAGTTAAGTACGTGTCCAGGCATCGGTACTTTTACTTCACTCGACGGCGAACTTGAGATCCTTTCCAGCTTGAAAATCGTGAGACACTCGGAAGCTCATTCCCAAAATCGCGTATAAATAGACGCTCGCGAGTTCGCGTGTACGCGAAGTCCGTCGGAATCGCGCCTTCTTGTGTAAGCATAAATTTCATAAAAGAGAAAAGGAAAAAAAAGAAGAAAGAAAAATTGCTCACGATGTATAGTAATATGCGGAAAGCCAGATTGAACGAGAGCAGACGTTGCGGCGCGTCCGGTAAGCTCGTNCCCCCCCCCCCCGTGCGATCGGTTCCTCGCGTAAACTCCCGCCCGCGACGCTCGCCCCCGTTATACACGCTGTCGTCATTCGCATAATCGAGACCACGATGCGCGTTCGTTAAACGAAACGACGTTCTCCGGTAATCGCGATTCCACCGCGTTGGTTGCCGTCGCCATGGCATTAAAGAGGGCGAGCCAGCGACGGGCGTGCTCTAACGACGCCCCGGTAATTGATTATATATGCGACTCTTACTCCTCGGGGGTGAGTATCATCTCCGACTTTTTTTTGCGGCCTCGCTTCTTCGGCTGATGCGCCAACTGGGGATTGACGGCGCCGTTCATCACGAGATTCATCTGATGATGTTGCGGCCCGGGCAGCGCCCCGGGCGGCGTCGACGTGGGTGTACCCAGCCCAGGTTGGGCACCGCCCGGACACGTCATGTTCTCGGGATTGCCGCCTGGACTGCTCGCCGACCTCATGCCGCCCATCGACATCTCCTCGTCCACGAACGAGTACGGGTCCACCGGCGTCTCGCATTTTATCGCGACCTGGAAAAGAACAGTGAACGTCCGGTCATCGTGTCTGCATTTTCGGCGCCATCGTGGCCCGCCGGAATTAAAGCGGGAGTTCCGAACTTTCGCATCGAAATGGCAGGAATAGGACAGACGGACGGACGCGGACCGACGATGGGAAAGCGCACCGTTCTCGTCAGATCGCGGAGAACAGTTCGAGAGGAAAACCCGTTTGATCGTTACGACATGCGTGTATTCGTGTTTCCTCGCGACGTCGGCGCGCATTTTGCGGCGGGATGCCAATAATAAGGGATAAATGTTCGCCCATGAAGCGGGAGGATGTGGAAATGTCTCTCTTTAGGTGTGCTTCACTTTGGAAAAACTTTATTCGCGAAACGAAGTTTTCAGAATTCAATAATTTAGAGGGTCTTCTCCCCTTTCTCTCTCTGTCTCTCTTTCCCCCTCTTTCTCCTCCTCTCTCTCTCTCTCTCCCCTCTCTTTCTCCGGTTTTCCTACAGGCAACTGGAAGCCTTTTGTGCGCAAGAACACGCACTGCGTACTAATTAACTACCTATGCAGTCTTTGCGTTTTCAACGAGAGAATCTTTCTCACGACTGTCAGAAAGAGATTTCTTTGTACGAAGAAATTTAAGAGCCCCCTTTGAAGAGAAATTGTATCAAAATTCAAGTGTTGCGCGTTTCCACGGCCAGGAGTATCACGTTCACTTTAATATCGCGAATAACACTCGTGCCAATCGGCGCAGATTTCGTCGTTGCAATCAGCCCGAAATTAAAGGGAGGAAATCCGCAAAATCCGATTTATAATAAAAGGATACACGTCAACACGCGCGCGCAGCTCCGTGAAAATACCTTGCGCTAAATTCACCGACACGCTGGTGCCTTTATTATAACATTAAGGACAGACGTATTACCGTATTTACTGACCGAATTTCCTCGCGTTTCCCCGAATAATACGCACGACGGCACGAGGAACGACAGAGGAACGATTTCGGGCGCGCACGGCGAATCACCACACACCTCGTGTGTATGTATGTGTGTGCGCGCGAACGTGTGATATCCGGAATCGCGATGACGGGCCCGATGTGTTCGCAGCCTAATTTAATTCCCCGCCGCGGGAATTATTATACCGGCGAAAATTTTTCGTCGCGTCCGCCGCTCCCGACGTCGCGCGACGGGCGGCAGCCGCCGTCGCGCTCCCGGAAAAATGAAATTTCTCGTCGCTCGCGCGGCACGTAGAGAGAGAGAGAGAGAGAGAGAGGGTAGGGGAGGGAGAACCCGACATGAAGCATGTACGGATCGCGGACACGTACAGTGGCGATCATAAAACGTGTATATAGCCCCGGCCGAGCGTCTGCACATGTATATGTGTCTCGATGCCTTGAGGGAAATAGTAATAGCACAATTGCCGCATGGACCGAAAATACGCTACAACGTATCAACCGTTCGCGGTTGTAAAATGTGCGAGTTCTTCTTTCCTTTCCTCCTCTGTTTTTTTTTTCATTCTTGTCTCTCTTACTCCCGTTCTCCTTCGAGACCGCGCGGAGCGACCGGCGCGCGTTTCTTTTCTCCCGCTGCACCCTTCGTATCGTTCACATTTTTCCTCCCCCCTCCTCCCTCCCTATCCTCTTTTTTAACATCGGGTAAAATCGACTGTGTGGTTCGGAAGCTCGCTTTCCCCGGTCCTGCTTCGGCTTGGATTCCGGCGACGGAAGATTCCGGTTGAACTTCGGCTAACTTTAATTAATGCCTATGCAAATGGTACAGGGAATGTTGATTTATGAAATACGCGACGTGTTTTGTCGCGCGAGTTAATTGCTTTCGACTATTAGCGAGTCCGAAATAGTCGGGTGTATCTATAGGGCCGTCTACAATAGCCGTAAAGTATGCAGTAAGACGTAAATAATAAACAAATTGACCAGTCGGATTCTTACAGTCCAAGAATAATCGATTGTGGTTGTTCAATTAGCTTACTGCTCGCGTCTCATAGCACACTTTACGGTTATCAAACGTCACTGTACATTTATAGGGAGAATATAACACAGATTTTTTCGCCTTGTTAGATTTTGCATGAGGGATCCCATGCCTATTACATATCACGACTATCACACCGAATTGTTACGTCACAACTTGATGTCTCTAGAGAAGAGAAAGGCATTTTTTATTTATACTTCTTATTTAAATTTTATTTATACTTCTTATTTAAACTTTTACAAAATTACATCGTTTGTCTTAAATCACTTGTGCTTTGTATACTTTATACGTCACCCAAGGTGTTTCATTCAATTTATTTCATATTGAACAGTGTAAAACATTGTATTTAACTGCATGAACAGAATTTTTATATTAACCGATGAATATTCTGCGTCCATTGACTTTGTTTACAATTCCTCGAGAGCTCTTAGATGTAATTTATACCAAGTTCTAACATACACTTCATTAATTTATCTTTCTGTATTTATATTCAGATTTTTTTATTTTTGTACAATTTCCTACATATTATGATTCGCTTTGTACACCAAAGAGTCTTATTCCCGTTAGTTGGATAAATAAATAAACGATGTATTGTAATGGCCTTATTGATATTCAATCAAGAAACAATCCCATTTTATAGTGCGATGTAGAAATTCTCAATTCAAGTTCTCGCGTAATAATCACAGAGATTATCCGCGAATAGATAAACAAACAAATAAATGAATGAGTCGGTATTAGATGATTATGACCGGCGACCTGAGTGACGTGTCTCTCTATCCGACTCTTCCCTCCTCAACGCTTGCGTTCCGAAAAATCCGATATCGCGGACTAAAATAAAGACTCGGAACATTATATCCGTTATCCGTTGTGAGATTGAAAATTATTCAACACGTTATTATATCCCGAAAGCTGTCAATAACGTGATAATTTGTGGCATTCCGACACGTTCGGTATATATTCGGCGCTTTTGATTTCGAGTAATTCTGCGATTGCTCCCTCGTCCGTTCGTTCGCCTTAGTTCACACACGGACGCGGAACATTCCGCAGCGAGATGAGCAGCATCGCTCACTTCCTCTGTCTGTTTTTAGTGAAAACTGAAAACTCGCGCATAAGAAGGATCGCGATTTCGCGTACACGAATTAACGTGTACGCTCGCGGAAGGAGGGAAGGAAGGAAGGAAGGAAGGAAAGAAAGAAAGAAAGGAGGGCGAATCTCGTCGCTTTTTTCGCCGGCCGTGGAACCGCTAGAATGAAGAGATAACGCGAACAGAGTAGGGTGGACAAGTGGGTGGCGGTGGTCGGGATTTTTTATCACGACATAAACATTCCGACACGTTTGCGATTTTCGACCTGGACTACCCCGGCGCTACGACCTTCCACCAGCCGCGACGCGTTCTTGACCCCGCGATAACCCGAAATCGAGGTCGAAATCCCGCTAAGATAAGGGTCGCACCGACTGGTAGTTTACCGATAAGGCGTTATCCCTACTATTCGTCCTTTTTCCACAGCGTCTCGCCTCACCTCGTCCGGCCTAGCCGCTCGAAGGTCGGCGGCGATATTGCGCGCGCGATAAGAACGTATACGCGCGACGATGGTGGCGTATTGTTGTTATTTGCAAACGAAAAGATCGCGTCCTCCGGTGCGGAATTGTCCCATCTGCCGGGATTCGCCACGGCCCGACGATATTAGAGTGTAATATTTGGGTCGCGCACGAGCGGGCAAATATAGAAAATCTTTCTATTACCGATAGGAAGATCCCGACGTTGACATTAATTGAAAGAATCGTCACGCACGATTCGAAGGGGGTGATATTCGTACGTCGTCGCGCCGACGAGTCATCGGGTCTGTTCTTTGTCGCCGAACTAGTACACATTTTCGAAACTTAAAAAGATATATACATAGAAATAATATTCATTGATATAAGTGAAATTTAGTTACCAGACCTAGTTTTCATCTGTGCTGAAGCTAATTATTTTTTTCCATTTACGAATATAGCCAGAAAAATTAGATCCGCACAGCTAAAACTACATTGAGAGAAAAATATTTGGTATTTGTAACTATAATCGTCATAGTAAAAGAATTACAGCCACGAAAACCAATTTTCTAGTGTTACTATATAGCGTTAGAGTTATAACAATCTCATGTGTGTGTTGTTGCTATTTTTTTGTGGCTAAAACTGTAAAAAGATTATAGTTAGCACCGAAAATAATTATGATTCCTCTCAGTGTAGGTTCGGTAATTAAACAAACGAAACTGGTGACGAAATTTCAATTGTGTTATATGGATAGTTAATTTGTAGCTATGAAAGCTAATTCTTCTTTCCCGCGAAAGAATCCGAATCGGAATTTCAAATTCTACGTTGGGTCTTCAAGTAGAGAAAATAGAAATAAGTGCTCCTTTTCAATGCTGCACAGGGAATTTAGTCTTCCGGAGCCTAAATTTTAGTTCTACATTAAATCTTCAAGTGGAGAAGAACGGCAATAATTTCCCCATTTGTAGCACCAAAGGAGTGCAATAGAAGCCCTTTGATCGACACTTGATGTAGAACGAAATTAAACTAGAAGTAAAATTTCGACTCGGAAACAGAGCTATCGTCACGTAGTGTTCTCGTACAGATCTAACTTCATATCCTCTTCCGCGCGATACGGAAAGATGATAAGTGGGTCGCGGCTCTAAAGAAAGCGATCGAACGGAAGTGTATCAGTCGTCGCGTCCATTTCGAGCGATCGGTAATTTGCGGGTAAACTCGGCGAAGTCGATGTATCTCTTTCTGTCTCTACGTGTGGATGTAAAAATAACGCAGGTCTCGAATCTGCCTCGGTTATAACCATTACATTTCCATGAGGTAACTCAATTTTCTCGGAGATCCTTCTCTCAGACAACGGCGTATGTATCTCTCGCACTCTCTCGTCTGTTCATCCCTTCGATCAACGAAGGAATAGGGGAGGGAGGAGAGGATGTCTGTAAATCAAGCGACCGGTCGGTTGGCGCGTTTACGCAGAAACAATCGAACGTCGAAATCTCCGCGGGAAGGGTTAAGTTAAGATAACACACGATCCGCGGCGGCTGAAGGAGAGGAGGGGCAGGGTAGGATCTCCCCCGAAAAGAGGGATGCGCGATAAGGCGGAGGAGTGAGAAAGAGGAGGTAGACAGTGACGCGAGGGGAAGTCGATAAATCCGGGACGTGGTTCACGGTTAACAATTCGATCAACGGAAATTCGCCGCCGCCGCCGCCGCTGTCGTCGTCGTCGGCGACGTCGCTCTGCGTTCGTTAAAATGAGAAGCCGGGGAAAATCGGGATCGACAGTCGTCACGTCACGATAATTTTCGAGAAAAAGACCATCGTTCCTGACAGCGGATAACAACTTTGCGGATAATGGCAATTTAATATCGCATGAAATTTCTGTAATTCATGCGATAACGCCGATGGCCAGATCAAGGGGGGAGGGGAGGAAAGCTGCCGCCGCTGCAACCTGCAATTAATTCATGAGCGGAAAATGCGCCGTTCTCTGTGATTGAAGTCGCTGAAACGCACCGTCGAAATATCCATTCGCGGATCGCACAGCGTGCTTTTTATTTGGCCGGCTTGTAAAATGAAAAAGCCGAGGGTCGTTTGAAAGATGTAACAGTTTTCGCCCTTTATATCGCATTTCGTTATGTACGCGGCGAATATCTCGTTCCCTTTGGCGAATATCGCGTGTATAAAATGTAAATAGATACCGACCGAATCTCCGCCGCGAACTAATCGTTAAATAAAATAATTCCTCGCAGCAGTCCGTGCGCACCGACACGAGTCGGTCGCTTTTTTTTCCCCCACTTTCTTCTCCCACCGAGGAACCCGATCATTCACGCAGCGGACGCGGAGAAGAAGAAAAAAACACTCTTCGACGTCGAAAACCTGCGGGATAATTTTTTTTTCATTCCTGTCCCCATCGAGTCGAAATTTTTAATTCTACATTGAGTCTTCAAGTGGAGAACGCAGAAATAAGTTCCCACTTGTGGCATCAAAGGAACAGAATAAGTGTTCCTTGTAAAGTACAAAGGGAATTTAGTCCTCCAGAGTCTAAATTTTAGTTCTACATTAAGTCTCCGAGTGAAGAAAACGGCAATAACTTCCCCATTTTTAGCACCAAAGGAGCACGATAGAAGTGAACACTTAATCCGGGAATAGTCACCTGGAGTAATTTCAGACTCCAGCGGTCAGAAAATGAAGTTCAGGTCGCGGTGGGTCTTTTTTACTGATCGGGAACTTACCTTTCATTTTGACATTTAGAGACCTAACCTGTGCAACAAGAACTAGCTGTGACACGTCTTATTTATAGTATCAGCTTGTAAAAATTCGTGGAGGTACAAACAGACCTCAGGTGGTCGTTCGCGTTACAAAATTAGTCTGATATGATAAGAGTTACGTATGTGTATTATGAATACAAGATAATGATAAGTTTAAACGGGGTAATTTTTGGTTTCTCCTCATTTTTCAAAAAGTAACAAGTAACACCTATATCTACAATGTCCCCAAATAATAACAATAAATCATAGAACGATCGATAATATTCCATATTTCGTTAATAACAACGACCCCGAGTGATCGCTTTCGTAAAAGAAATAAAGTGACTACTTCCGGGTTAATTAGTAGAACCAAATTAGACTGGGATGAAAATTTCGACTCGGATCACGCCGGATCTTTCAATCGGAGAAATCGCGCGAGAGGAGACGAACGATCGCGGCCCGTTCGGAGACGTTCCGCGGCGCGTAAAGCGAAGAACAAGTAACATCGAGAGTCCTTTTATTCTCCTCAGACCTTCTCTCTCTCTCTCGCTCCTCTCCTTCTACCGACCCATGCGTTCCGCGTGTTTCATTGTGCAGCGACAGAAGTAATGTTGCGTAAGTAGATCGTAAAACCGAACATGAAAATGCAAATCGCCATTGCCGCGCGGCATTGCGAAAACCCGGAGTGGCGATTGCGCGCGTCTTTATTGCAATTTATCGCTCGTAATTTTGATTGCGAGGTGCTAGATACCGCCGATACCGGCGGATCCTAATGAGAGGAGCCGCCGTAGCACTCTTTATTGGCCAATAATTTTGACGTTTTACGCGCGACTTCTTTTTTTTCCCCTCCCCTCGTCTTCTCCTTCCACCTCTCCTTCTCCTCGCTTTTTTCCCTTCTCCCATTCCTTTTCTTTCTTTTTACATAACCACGTGTTTTCTCCGTCGATTACGAGCCGCGATACTCGCTCGTAAAGGCCCCTCTCCCCTTTCGGCCGCGCTCTTGTAAACGCTAAGCGAACGCGTGATCGTCCGGCGTGCTGGCGATTTGATTGGCATGCATCGCGCTTCTTTGTAAACACGACCGACCGCGATTCGTGCGTGCGTGCGTGCGCGCGTTCGGGATCTTAAATCGCGAACTTTATTATCGCGGTGCCGGACTTCGAGATAATAATCTGGACGCCGCGCGCGCGCGCGGCCAGTAAATTTCCGCGCGCGGCGCGTTCACTACCGTGTTACATAAATGTTGTTTTATCACGTAGTGAAGACGCGTTCGATCGTTTCGACCTTCGGGGATCGCTCTTTTTCCCTTTTCCCCTTGTTTCTCCCCGTCGTCCTTATCCACCCTCGCGAATAGTCTCGCATGGGAATGTACTACCGATTCACCGGGATCTCGCCGGACTGGCCGGCGAATTAGGCGAGACCACCATTAGTTGCGCTTAACACGAAATTTTGACATAAAGTCGACCGAGGATACGCCGTATGTACGGCCGGTTACTACACGCGAGCCCACGGCATAATTACGGCGATCACGTACACACGTTCATATCTCGCCGAGAATTCCGCGAACATAGCGTTTGTCCTGACATTTAAATAATCGCGATGTATCCGAAACGCGAATCTCAATTATATAAATCACCGTTAGCACGCTCTTTCTCCCTTCGAAAATGATGACTCGACGAAACGGAGAGAGATGTATTATCAATATTCCCCATACATACAGAAAAGAAATAGTCTTATATGTATAAATCAGATGTTCTCATATATAAGCAAGAATATTATAATATTCTCAGAAGATTTTTAATCTTGAATTGAGTTCGAATAATACTCACAATCAATACAAATTCTAAGATTATCTTATACATTCTCGTATATAAGTGAGAATATTATAATATTCTTGCTTATATATGAGAATATCTATTTTTTATTTAAGATCACTTTTTTCCTGCGCAATCAATGTATTATTACTGAGAAGCAGTCACTACTCATCCTAGTTATAAATATAATTATAATACGATTCAATAAAATTTTGCTGCGAAAATCCGTTAATAGCAGCAACGATTCCATTAGAGAAATCTAATTGCAGAAACAATGAAGAAAGATATTATTTATTACTCTTTTTTTTATTATCTCATTCTTAAGATATCGTCAGTGAATTTGCCTGATATATCCTTATTTTGTTAATTATATTTAATTGATTTGATTTATATATTATTTGAAAAACACGTTCATTCTGATAGGACTCGAACTCGAAATCTCTGGCTCTTGAATGATATCATATCTCTGATGCTATGCCAAGACTATGCCAAGTACGATATACGGTTGAATGCATATACGATATGTACATATATTTCTACTACGGGACGCGTAACAGCGATTCGCAGTGAACCTTTTGCTGGCCAAAATCAGCGAAGTATTAGATAAAAGAACTAAATGGAAGAGTTTCCACCAGAAATTAGCGAATAATCACTGATTATCGGCAAAACACTGTTCCACTAATTCAATTAGTGACATTGTCACTAATTCGACTTAACCCTCTATCGACAAGATTGAACAATATCCAGGAAAATACGGTTGGATCCAACTTCATGCTCTGTTTCGTTTATTTTTCAAGTGATCCAAATATAAAATTACTAAAAGAAGAGAATAATAACATGAAATATTCCTTAAGAAGAGAAACACCGCGTACACGTTGCAAAATAAACGAGCCGTGGGGTCGCTTCCGACCCCAACCTTGCGATTAGAAAGTTAAAAGAACAAAGACCTTCCATTAATTTTCCGTGACTGTTAATTTTGACCCAATTTCGAGGCTGTGAAGGCAGTGGAAAAAATTGCGAGTCGCGGGTTGCGGCTACGCAAACAGCTCGAGAATGCAGTTGGGTGGCCGGAAGGAAGGAACGGAAAACCGGGGGAGGGTGCGGGGGGGGGTGGAGCGGCGGCGGTCGCAAGGGCAGGCAGGCAGGGTAAGCGAATATATGAAAAACTCACCTGTCCGAGGGCGGAGGCGGTCGAGCCCGGCTGCTGGGGTTGATGCGCTGTCGCCGATATCGGCGTGAGGGGCGTGTGCGGCGTGTGCGGTGTGTGCGGCGTGTGTGGTGTCAGCGGCGTGTGATACTGCTGACTGCTGTCACCGCCGGTGCTCCTCATCTCGAGGTCCGGACTCGTCTCGTAACCGTCGTCCCTCGCCTCCTGCTTCACCATCACCCCTGCGCGCAGAGAAGGACAGAGAGGGCGACGCCCTTTAGATTTTCGGCGCGCTTATCTCGCTCGCTCGGCCGTCGGCGTCGTCGTCGTCGGGGCCATCGACGACGACGGCCGAGGTCGTAAAATGACAAAAATTTTCGCACCCAGTAACGGACGCCCGGGCGGCCCGTTACTGCGAGAATTAACCCCGCACAAGTCGGCGACGGCGGTAATACTCCCGCCGTCTTGCCCATTCCAGCCCATTCCGCCTTTCGGATTCGTCCTCGAGGAGAAAGAAATGCGAGAGCTCCTTTATCCGGAGAAATGCGGAGTGAGTTTGAAATTCGCGAGGGGCTTAGCGTACACTATACGGACGTCGCCGGGTTGCTCGCCACGACGACGACGACGTCGACGGTTCGTTCGATCGCTCACCGGGGGGATTTCTTCTGTTTCGTACGCGTACACGTGGGTGCGCGTGCATTCGCTAACTAGTTCGAATTATCGCGCTATTAATTCACAACTACCGCTACTCGCGTCGCTCTATCGTGAAATGTTTCCTCCGCGAAACAACCGAGAGAGCACGGAGTGGCTTATTTAGCGCGGAGTGAGCGAGAGGAAGGAGGGGAGGGGAGCACCGTCTAACTCTTAATCCGGATAGCTACAGGTACGAACCGGGCACCGGCTGAATTTTCAGCCTAGTTCAGACATAGTTGCGCCGGGAATCGGGCGCTGCGTTTCCCCCCGAACTTTCGATATTTGCTCCCGCCAACTTTTTCGAGCGATCGAATTTGTCTTCGCCCTCGGCTTTTCGAATTAGACGAAGCTCGCTAAGTTGCGGCAGGCAACTCCCCCCCCCCCCCCNNNCCCCCCGTTTACAATTCTCTATACTGTAACGAGAAGACGCGACCATTCGAAATTGATCGGCTCGGCGGAGATTTGAAACGAAAAATCCACGACGCGACGTCGGAGAGCGCCTCCCCTTCCCCGTGTTATCGGGCGCATACGCCGGGCGATTGGCGTTAAAGAGCGCGACACGTCCCGCTAAAAGGCACCGGTCGTCGCCGGCAAACTCGATAAACACACCGCGCTCGCGCGGCCGTAAAGCTCAAAGTAATACCGATAATTTGATGGGGAATAAATAAACGGCGCATTTAAGTGATTTAAGAGATTATTGTATAATCCGCGCCGGGGTCCGGAGCAACCTTTCGCTCGGTTTAGTATCACCCCGAACAAGTTTTATTGCCGGCGGTATCGTCGATGGTAATTTAATAGCTGAGGAGTACCGAGAGAAACGAGTTAATCGCTCGTCAGAAGATTTACCGGTTAGCCGTTGAAAGCCCCGCGCGCGCGTGCTCGCTCGTTCGCGCTGCTAACGGCAAATACATTAAAACCCATCGGCCCGGTCCGAGCGGAACAGAGCCCGCGCGACCCGGCTCGGTCCGGGCTGTCCGACGACGCGTAGAATTGTTCAATTGACCCAGAGAAAAATATTCCGCGGATTGATGACTGACAGCCCGGCGTGTGAGACGGCGTGTTTGTAATTGGCCTCGGATTTTGCCGGCGCGTATATTTCGCCCCGCGATTGTCGTGCGTGCCCACCGCATCGCCCTGTGTGCGGTGTTCGCTCTCTTTCTTTCTCTCTCTCTCTCTCTCTCTCTCCTTCGCTCGCTCGGGAAATATTTTTTTACAATTTCGCGCCAATTGCCGGCGGTAGTATCGACCGGAGCCTCGCGCGACGTAAACGCGAACGTCGCGTATTCTCCCACGTGCGTGCGTACACACGCGTGCGTCTCCGTTCTTCCGCCGGTGAGAATCGACTGCTACCCGGGTATGATCGCATCGTATGATTACACGGAACGATTATTGCTATCGCATACGATGACGGCCGACGACGTTCTCGGACGTTCCGCGGGAAAGGTACGCATGCCGAGGAGAGACCCCGTTATAACGAAAATTAATTTCGTAATAAGCTCGTGTTGAAATGAAGCTTTTTCATCGATTGCGCGTCCCGTGAAATTTCCGCGAGCGAGCGAACGGCCGAGCGATAGAACCGCCGTCCTCCCGCGCCCTCCGCCGATCCTTTTTTCGTCGTGAAATTCCATGCGAATCTGTTTAATGGCTCGCTCGCAATCGCGAATAAACGCGGGGACGAGCTTTTTGCAGGCGGCATGCACACATACACGCGCGCATGTACATACACACGTAACGTACGCACGCACCCGCCCACGCGAACGTGCACGTACGAGTCGCGGCGGCCGCATCACGTTGGTCGCGCGAGCGCGTCCTCTCGCGTTTGTGTCACACAGTGGCGAAAAATATAAAATTAATATTGTATCTGGTCTGGATTCTCTCATTCTCTCTCTCTCTCTCTCTCTCTCTCTCTCTCTCTCCTTCTCCCTCCCCCTCTTCCTCCCTTTCCCTCGGTACCTTTTGCCGCGATAATCGCGCGATATTGAATCGTCATGAGGCAGGTATAATTTTTTCCCGTGCCGCGCCGAGAGACCGGCCGCCGTGCTCCGGCTAAAATACCAGAGTCAATATTTTCAAATATCCGTCGACGTTTGATATTTGCAAATTATATACGTCAAGTGCCGCGCGCGAACGGGCGAGCGAACGAGCAAACGATCGATCGATCGAGCGAGCGAGCGAAAGCGATCGGTGGCTTCCGCACGAAGGCGCGCGCGGGGCGCCGCTTTATAAAAAAGAATTCAGCCAATAAATTTAATGCAACGCTAATTTAATCGGAAGAAAATTTCGCCGGGGGAAATTTTTTCGGACCTCGCTAATTAATGAGCGCGCGCCCCGTACGCTCTCGGTATGCCGGGGCAGCAGCGAGCTTTTATTGCGAGTCGGCGGCTTTATTCCGGCGAGCGGCGAGCGTAATTAAATGCAACGCGCGAACGTTGCGCGACGGAACCCCCCCCCCGTGCATTGAATTAGTGGAATTGTTTTGAATTTTTGACCGATAGAGCGAGACGTGGGAGTGGGGGAGAGAAGAGGGGGGTCGCAACTCGGCCAACAAAAAATTCGCGGTTGGATCCTCACCTTGAGAACTCGTGCAACTCATCGTCGTGCCGTTTGGTCCTCCATTTTGCACCGGTGACGGGTACGACCTAGAAGCAGAAGGGAAACAACGTCGGTTACTCGTGCGATCTAACGTTTTGTATTATTATTATTATTATTATTATTGACCAAATACGACTCGTATACAAGTGTGTAAAATTTTAAATCAACGCAACAGACACATTCTCACACATAAATTTTCTCAGATTTCCCCATGCACGGTATAAATTTCGATTAGAATATCAAAATTGTTCGAGGCCCAAAATAAGTTATTACGATACCAATTGGTCAGTTATGCAAGAAGGATCCAACCCACAAAATTATGATTTTGGAGATTTTATTACTAACAGTCTGTACGTCTTTCTACATAAAGCAAAAAAAACCTTATAGGCGCCTAAAATTAATTAAAAAAACCGTTTCTATTTTACCACTAGTTGTGACATTTTTTTAATTGCGTCTTTTTTATCTGCTTTTTAAAGGTTAAGCTTTGTCAATGGGTATTCTTAAAAAGAAAAAATGGACTTGCTTGACTTTTTGAACAAAATGTGAAGAACCTTATGTAGATCGAAGATACTTTTTGCATAACTATAGCTAATTGGAAATACCATTCTTATCTGAGATATAGGATAAAATTTTTTCTCCGCGATGCTGATTGGCTAAACACTGCGGCGTACATCGCCAGAATTAAACAACAGTTTAACCGAATATCAGACTAGAAGGTTAATAAACGAGGTTACATTTTTCATGTCGCGCTTAATAGCACTCGCATAGCGTGTGTGTACTTGTAAAGTGCAAATATTGAAAGGTCCATATTTTCGACTCGCTTCTATTGATAAAAGTGTCTCTAAAAGTGACTTAGAAATAACCTGAATGGCTGAGAAATCACATTTAAGGCATTTTTATTGGTAAAAGTGAGTTCAGAATATGCATCAATATTACAACGTGTTCTTCAATCGCAATGTAAAATGGAAGGCAAAAAAATCTTTAGGAAAACGTTGAGGATGAACAAATAGGATCCGTTTCTCACTTAGAATCGTATATTTGAAATTTCACGCATCTAACCAGAGAATCTGCGTAGATTTCCCAACTAGAATCCATAATTATTTTATGGAAAAATCGAACTTGGATTCCAATTAGATCCCAAGAAATATTCTACGTGCGATGTTATTTTACAACTTCACCTTTACAATTGACAGCACTTTTAATCGCTACGATACTGCAATATATGGTAGTCGCGCACCGATAACTACAGTCGGATCTCTTATTTGTCATGCCTTTTCATATTTGAGCTCTTTTCTGAGGAGGAAGGGGGGAATACACCGCAGACAGGCCGCGAAACGCGGTAATTAATGCTCGTCGCGCTGTACGCTAAATCGTGGCTGGATAGGATGTGCACAGAGGTATTTCTTCCTTTCAATATCGTACTTATTTCGAATTTATTTTGGGTTTCCAGAAGCGACTGTGCCGGAAGCTCAGGATGACACCGCGCAGCAACAGGTAATACTGTTCGATTCTCTATTTAATAATAAGTTATCTTTTAAGATTTAATGATTCGGGGCCGAATATATATCGCGGCGCACAGTTAAAACCGGCGCACGAAACACGATAACGGGATTACCGTAATTTCCTCGTATGGTTATTTAATCAATCTCTTAACGCGCGCGTTCGCGCTCCGCGCGCGCGTGTGTTGCGCGTTGTATATAATTTCGTAAATTTAACGTCTCGTTACGACCAATCAATAACCTAGGAGCTAATTACGTATTATTCCAATATCCTTTTCGCCGACGTTTTTCCAACATAATTTAACATTTTATCGAATTTTCCTTTGATATCGAAAATATCGAATATTACATTTGACAAACCCGTTACGAGAAAGCGGCACTTAATTTAATTAATTTTCAAATTAGCTGTAATGTTCTTTTAGTTAGCTCCTCCCTGTCACGCATTTAAAAGAGAACCCCGGAAACCAGTTTTCTGTAATTAAAATTTCCATAATGTGATTGTGTCCTTTTATCGGGACGGTTCCTTGCGTCTATGTTTCCATACGGTTGCGTCAATAGCGTGGCGAGATTTATTTCAATCTTTCCTCCGCTTTTAATTCGTATTCACGCTCGCGTTCTCACCGATTATATCACGTTATTCTTTATACGTTAATTCCCGCGGATCTATATCACGCGTTCGTCCACAAATATCCCGCAGCTGTATTTTCCAAAAGTTGCTCGTGCATAGACAAGACAAGTGAATGAAGACCTCCTGTAAGTTTTATAAGTTTCAGTTCGCGCGACGTAACACGGCGCGCCCGCAACTTCACCTCCCGAGTTTTTCCTTTCATTTCATTAAAACTTTCCGAGGAACGCCGCCGCAGGTCGGTTAAAAAGCGTTGCCACGACCGCCGGTTATCGGGGAATAATTGTCGTTGCGTATGTTAAAAAAATGGAGGAAAAAAGCAGGAAGAGAAGGAGAAGCAAGAGGGGGAAGGAGAAGGAGAGGAAAAATCCGCAGGAAGTGCGATAGGCCGCGTACAACGTAATAGCGTCTAATTTACGTCCGACCGGGCGACGTATCGATCTCGATTACGTCACGAACTGGTAATAAAGATATGCATTAAGAATTCAAATGCGGTGTCGATGTGAGATAACGCGTTGCCGTCGCAATAATTGCCGCGCGTATCGTCGGTGTAAATGCGCGGCGCGTCTTTACTTAACGGTACGCGATATCGCTTTTTGCTTAATTCGATATTCGATCTCGCGATAATTCGATAACACCGCCGGGACGATACCGGGACCTTGAAATTTTCGTCTAATACAAAAGAAGAAAAGCGAGAAAATAACAAGACAATGTAAAAGGTTTAAATAATTACACGGAGAAAAAATAGCCTCCACAGCTGCAAATTAGCTGTCCATGTAATAAAACTTAGTTAGTAGACCTAGTTTTTAATTAGTTCTTTTTTTTCTGCGTACGACTATAGTCAGAAGAATTAGCTTCTATAATTGAAAACTATATTGAGAGAAGTTATAATTGTTTTCGGCCTCATCTACATTTATCTTATATCGTTTTAATCACAAAAATTGTAGCAGCAATACGCACAACGTTATTATCATTGATACTACAATAACACGTCTTTCACTATGATGATTATAATTACAAATTTTTCTCTCAGTATACCCGAGTCGAAACTTAAAATTCTATATCAAGTCTTCAAGTGGAGAAAACGGAAATAAGTAATCACTGGTAGCACCTAAGGAGTACAATAAGCGTTTCTTCAGTGCTATAAAGATAATTTAGTCCCCCAGAGTCTACATTTTAGTTCTACATCAAGTTTTTAACTAGTACATTGAGTCTTCAAGTGAAGAAAGCGGCAATATTATAATTTCCCATTTGTAGTACCAAAGGATAGAAGACTTTTAAACAGTTAATGTAGATTTAAAGTAGAACTAAAATTTTGACTCTGCGATAGTTTTGCTAACTATATAAATTTCATTTTATTACATTTGTACTATATGGAAGGCTAGTTTTCAACTATGGAAGCTAATTCTCTTTTTCCGTGCATTAAGCGCAAAGAAGGTTTAAAAAAATTCGCGGGAGAGGTAAATCTCGACTTTGCGCGAAATTAAAAAATCTTTCGGGAGAATTAACCTCGAAATTTACATCGTAAACGACGCGAGGCGATTCGCGTTTACACAGTGCGTACCAGTCGATTTTTCGAAATTTATCTTTCCGATACAAGCGCCCGCTCGCTCGCGCGTGAAGCACTCAATTAGGGATTATTCGAAGGAAAAAAGGACGTCGATTTTATAAATGGACCCGGCCGCCGTTCCATCTCGTGACTCGACGCGCCATTTAATTGATTGTGCCGGCCGCGACGCGAACGCGCGCGCGGCAATTATGATCGCGTGTCCGTCCTCCGTCTGTCTCTCCCCCCCCCTCTCTCTCTCTCTCTCCCACTCTATTTCGCCGTCCCTCTGTGTCTTCCGACTAATTATGAGGCACGGTGCGCACACGCTGATGCGCCCGTTGTCACCACGCGTCGAAATCGTTTTGCGCGGATTACTGATATTACGGCGCGTGCTGCAATATTAGAGGCTGCGGGCGAACGTCGTCGAATGTCGTCGACACTTAATTATCGCGCGTAACCGAGTGAACATCGCCTCCTCCTTGTCGTCGTCGTCGTTCTCGTAATCGTCGTAATCGTCGTAGTCGCACTCGCGACTCGTTTGGCGAATTTACTCGCGCGGCATCCACGCAAATTGGCGCGGATTGACGCGCTCTAAGTGTTCGGCTACATTGTTGTTAGCTGGAGACACGCGCGGAATTACACGAGCCGGGGGGGGGGGGGGGGNNNNGGGGGGGGGGGGGGAGGTCGATACTTTTGCTGATTGTATCGCGAGCGTACACAATATACGCGCGAACGGCATTATCCGCTAAAATGTTTCTCGCATCAACGAGCCTGGAATCTCGTTCGACGGAAAATAAAGAGAAAATAAGAGAAAGAAAGAAACAGAAAGGGAAAGAGATGTACATTAGTTATTTCGGTAAGAGTTACATACCGACGCGGCGCGAAGTATCGATACTTCGCCGGCGGGGCTTTCTCCTCAGAAGCGCGCGCGGTTGAACTTTAGCTGGTATTAACCTTTCCGTCGCGGCACGTTACTTGCTTTTTCGAAATTGCCGGCAAACTGGAGAGAGAGATGCACCGCAATTACGACACATTGGCCACATTCATTATTTCCACATAGACGGGCATGAAATAACGACGTGACGCCTTGATTGATCGTTTCTTAAAGTTCTTGCCGCCGCCGCAAGGAGTTCAAGGAGTTCATCACCTCCGGTTATAAACGCGCACGCACACGCCGCATTTTTACTGACGAAACAAGAGTTAACAAGCCAACGTTATCCTACGTCGAGGTGCAAATTATGCAAAGTATCTTTTTTACGCTTTGTCCAAAGGCGTTTAATAAACGAAGAGTTTCTTTTTTTTCTCTCTCTCCTCCTTTTTTCTTGCAAATGTCGCGCAGCGGTTAGAAGCGACGAGAAAAGAAAAGGAGAGGCGCGGGGGGAGAGATGGAGAATGTGAGAGAGAGAGAGAGAGAGAGGAAAACCGAGAAGATATTGTCCAGCCGGTGACGATTGCCGAGCCGTTCGAGAAAAAGATCCCAGTGGCAAAAAGATCCTTTGCGCGTCACGTCGCGTAACGCAGCCGTGGCAGGATGAAATGCTGCCATTGAGATTATAAATAGCGGAGATTACCGGAGTCCGGCGTTGCGCATACGCGCGGTATAATTATATCCTGAAAGTAACTAATCACTTTGTTTTCCGTGTGTTGCAAAAGAGGATGTCGAGAAGATCCACGCGCATACACGATGTCTCGGCCACATGCTCGGATCGAGTTCTACTATTTCGATCGATCGCGAGTTCGCCGCCGATATGGACGGACGAACGAACGAACGCGGTCGGAATTCGCGCATCAATCATCCGTCAAAAAATCGATTCGCCGGCTGCGAAAAGCCAAAGTGAGATCGCGGAAGGAGGAGGAGAAGATATGCCTATAGGGCGAGTTCGATATCTCGCGTTTCCCGTTCGCAGCTCGCGCGGGACGCGAAACTCCATTTCAACCGGCTGCGGAATCGACCAATTACGGTCTTTGACGTTATTGAGCTTCGCAGAACCAAAGGCAGCGTGATGTCAGGATTATCTAATGAGGCGAGATTATCCTCACGGGAAGTCGCAATTAACGGCTTAATTCGTCTCCGAATACAATCAGACGCGATCAGACTCCGTCTATATCTCTCCCTCTTCCTCCTCTCNCCCCCCCCCCCGCTCTCTTCCTCTCTCTTCCTCTGCGAGGGAACACGTGGCGAGTAGCGATTATCGCTCGAGGTAACGTCGCGGATCAGGGTGTTTCGTTTTCTCGAAATACGGGCTCGTGCGAATTACCGTACGGAGAAAAAAGTTCGGTTGAATGAAAGGATGCTGTTGACGAATTTGATAAGCGTCGACAACGTAGAGACGATCCTCCAAATGTCATATAAACATTGACACGATCGCGCTACTTTTTTGCATTTTTTATACGTATATATTTTAAATGTGAGCGCGATATAAATGTAAATGCGATAAACGGGCGCTACTTTGTTTTATCGAACTGTTATATCTAACGGGAAATCTAACCGAGATGTATAAAAATTTTTCTGCAAACTTTTCATATCTCTACCTCTCGTACCTCTAAATTTAATTAAAAAATATAGAAGGTATAAAAATGTTCTTTCGAATGTCCTTGTTTGAAGCATTTGGCATATACAAGCTGTAAGATTTCCGTATCAGAATGTGAATGAATATTTACGCGAACTAAGCTGGAGACGTCGATTTTGAAATTTTTAATCGTTCTCGTCATATATTGACCAATGCTCTGATTTACTGTCGCACGTATTTTTATCGCAAAAATATTCATAATTATTCTGTGCAACCGATAAAACGTAAACCTTGCAAAAAAAAATCGGTAT